GGCCATGTCATCAGGTGCCATCTCATGGCCATGCCATTGGGTGGCACCTCATGGCCGTGTCATCAGGAGCCATCTTACAGTCACACCATTGGGTGGCATCTCACGGCCGTGCCATCAGGTGCCATCTCTCATGGCCGTGTCATCAGGTGCCATCTCATGGCCATGCCATTGGGTGGCATCTCATGGCTGTGCCATCAGGTGCCATCTCTCATGGCTGTGTCATTGGTGGCATCTCATGGCCATGTCATCAGGTGCCATCTCATGGTCACGCCATTGGGTAGCATTTCATGGCCGTGTCATCAGGAGCCATCTCTGGTGGGAGAGTCACGGGTGCCATCTCTCACGGCCATGTCATCAGATGCCATCTCATGGTCACACCATTGGGTGGCATCTCATGGCTGTGCCATCAGGTGCCATCTCTCATGGCTGTGTCATCAAGTGCCATCTCATGGCCTTGTCATTGGGTGCCATCTCTCATGGCCATGTCATCAGGTGCCATCTCATGGCCATTCCATTGGGTGCCATCTCTCATGACCATGCCACCGGGTGGCATCTCATGGCCGTGCCATCTGGTGCCCTCTCTCATGACCATGTCATATGATGCCATCTCATGGTCACGCCATTGGGTGGCATCTCATGGCCGTGCCATCAGGTGCCATCTCTCATGGCCGTGTCATCAGGTGCCATCTCCAATGGCCGTGTCATTGGGTGGCATCTCATGGCCTCGTCATCAGGTGCCATCTCTCATGACTGTGTCATTGGGTGACATCTCATGGCCATGCTCTCAGGTGCCATCTCTCATGGCCATGCCATCAGATGCTATCTCGTGGTCATGCCGTTGGGTGCCATCTCTCATGGCCTTGTCATCAGGTGCCATCTCCAACAGCCATGCCATCAGGTGCCATCTCTCATGGCCGTGTCATCAAGTGCCATCTCATGGCCTTGTCATTGGGTGCCATCTCTTATGACCAAGCCTTTGGGACCATCTCTGATGGCCATGCCATCAGGTGCCATCTCTCACAGCCGTGCCATCGGGTGCCATCGCTCATGGCCTTGTCATTGGATACCATCTCTGATGGCCGTGTCATCAAGTGCCCATCCCATGATCATGCCATGAGGTGCCATCTCATGGCCATGCCATTGGGTACCATCTCTCCTGGCCATGCCAACAGCTGCCATCTCTTGCGGTGGTACTACCAGGTACCGTCCCCTCCCCGTGGTGGGGTTTGGGACCTCTGTGGTGGCCCTGACCCCGGTTGTCCCTCTCCCGGCTCAGGTTTCACCGCCTGCCACCCCTCCCAGCTCCTGCGCTCCAGCTACATCTTCCTCTTCCAGCTGCCCTGGCTGCCCGAGCTCCTCCTCTCCTTGGCAGACTTTGAGGTGAGACCCCATCCCCACGTCTCCTTGTCCCCACTTTGTCCCCTCAGGTGCCCCATGCCACCTTCTGCACCTCCCCAACCCAAGAAGCTCCTCAAGAACCTCTTGAGGAGGACCAACCAACCCCAACCACCTCAAGAATATCTTGAGGACCAACCCCAAAGTTCCTCAAGAATGTCTTGAGGAGGACCAACCAACCCCAGCCACCTCAAGAACATCTTGAGGTCCAACCCTGAGCTCCTCAAGAACCTCTTGAGGAGGACCAACCAACCCCAACCACCTCAAGAACATCTTGAGGACCAACCCCAAAGTTCCTCAAGAACCTCTTGATGAGGACCAACCAACCCCAACCACCTCAAGAACATCTTGAGGACCAACCCTGAGCTCCTCAAGAACCTCTTGAGGAGGACCGACCAAACCCAAACTCCTCAAGAATGTCTTGAGGAGGACCAACCAACCCCAAGCTCCTCAAGAACCTCTTGAGGACCAACCCCAAAGTTCCTCAAGAACCTCTTGATGAGGACCAAGCAACCCCAAGGTCCCTCGTCACTGGTTTTGGGGTGGCGGCCTCATCCAGACCTCCTGTCCCCCTTGGTGGCCCCATAGCTGGTGAAGACCATCCTGACGGGACCTTGGACGGGGATCCAGAACCCGGCGCAACGGTTGACGGAGCAGGAAGTGGAGGCGTATCTCTACAGCCTCTCCCAACCTGGGGGGTTGTCCCCCACCATCCACTACTACCGCAACCTCTTCCGGTGGGTGGGGGCTGGGGGGCACCTGGGGTGGGGGTGCCAAGGTTGGGAGCTCCTGGGATGGGTGCTGCTGGTTGGGGTGGTGGTGGGATCCCCTTGGGGTGCTCCCATCTGAGATGATCCCAGTTGGGTGCTCCTGGGATGGGTGCTGCTGGTTGGGGTGGTGGTGGGATCCCCTTGGGGTGCTCCCATCTGAGATGATCCCAGTTGGGTGCTCCTGGGATGGGTGCTGCTGGTTGGGGTGGTGGTGGGATCCCATTGGGGTGCTCCTGTTTGACTTGTTCCCATTGGGGTGTCTCCCATGTGGGATGCTCCCGTTGAGGTTCTCCATATTGGGGTGTCCCCCATTTGAGGTGCTCCCGTTGAGGTTCTCCATGTTGGGGTGCTCCATGTTGGGTGTTCCCGTTGAGGTTCTCCATATTGGGGTGATCCCATTGAAGTTCTCCCTCTTGGGGTGTCCCCCATTGAGGTTCTCCATGTTGGGGTGATGCCATTGAGGTTCTCCATATTGGGGTTCTCCATTTTGGGTGTTCCCATTGGGGTTCTCCATCTTGGGTGTTCCCGTTGAAGTTCTCCATATTGGGGTGATCCCATTGAAGTTCTCCATGTTGGGGTGATGCCATTGAAGTTCTCCATATTGAGGTTCTCCATGTTGGGTGTTCCCATTGAAGTTCTCCATGTTGGGGTGATGCCATTGAAGTTCTCCATGTTGGGGTGCTCCATGTTGGGTGTTCCCGTTGAGGTTCTCCATGTTGAGGTGTTCACATTGAAGTTCTCCATGTTGGGGTGATGCCATTGAAGTTCTCCATGTTGGGGTGGTCCATGTTGGGTGTTCCCATTGAGGTTCTCCATGTTGGGGTGTCCCCCATTGATGTTCTCCATATTGGAGCTCTCCATGTTGGGGTTCTCCACGTTGGGGTCTTCCCATGGGGGTCCCCTCCACCATCCTTAACCTCCCC